ATTTTTATAGAGTGTATGCAAAATTATTATTATTATTATTATTATTATTATTATTATTATTATTATTATTATTATTATTATTATTATTTAACACAGAGTTAAACCGTCCTTTATTTCCATTTAATTTTTTTAGAAAGCAATTCGCGCGGCTCTCCTGAAAAATGTGTTACATTACTTAAGGAGGTCCGGGAAACATTAAGACATGCTAAGTGTCAAAAGGTAATTCCCCCAACACATCCCAAAGACTGAATGTCTCCTCTGAAAAATACTTAAAATCCCCCGGAGAAAAATCTTGGAAGCATCATCATTCCGTCTATTGTTATAAAACGAGGCGTCTACTGCGAAAATACCCTTCATTATTATCTGATGCTATGGATAATCCAAAAAAATAAGCGATTTACTGGTATTGTATGGACTGTATCAAACTGTAGTGCGTCATCTAGAGGAATTAATCGATATCACAAAAACGTGTTTTGAAGAAAGAAGTTAAGCAAGCAGGTAGAAACACGCACTGCGAGCTATCAAACTAACAGACGCTCATGAAACTAAAATTGTATTTCAATAACAAATACTGGAGGTGTGTCATCTTCGGTTATTAAAAATAAAACATATATTTGTTTAGGGGAGGACATTTTGTGTCTCTTGCTCGGTTGGTGGTTAGTAGATAAATGATCCAAAGATCACATGCAGTTGCTTCTTGAAAATACAGTAAATGCTTGTATCAGCTGGATGATCCTCTGATCAGTTAGTGACTAGCCAACAAATGAGCCAATTTTGGCCCAATGGCCTTGTAACATTTTATATGTTTAGTCCTGAATAGGTCTTTCGGCATTTTACTATTATACTTAGTGTATACTTAGCAACAAAATCACTGCTAGCCTATAATTTATTAATTTATAACCTATAATTTTAATTGAAATAAAAAGTGATCACAGGTAAAGGGTAAAAGAATTAACCATTTAATGAACGCAATAATTTCTAGGGACACATACACCACTAAGGAACCTAAAAGAAAAATATACTATAGCCTGTGCTGGTGTTGTGACGTCATGTTTCCGCTGTAGCCAACCGACGGAACCATTGCTCCGATGTGGGAGAATAGAAGAGTCCTTAACGCTTGAAGAAGTGTATTTTGCAATACAGATATGGTCAAAATAGCTTATAAACAATATATTTAAAAGTTTTTATTTGAAAATCAGATGCAGCATGCCAAACAAACAAATGATGGATTTTGTTTCACCCCTAAATTATAACCTCAATGGTATGACCTCTTGTCATCACACGGAAGGAGAAAAGAAAGGAGGCAAAATCAAAAGGTGTTGGATTTGTATTTTTCTGTAGGTGTTTCGTTGCGATTTCTAGCATTTTAATTCCCAGCTAAAACTTGTCTGTTAATAAATGTCCCACATAAAGCTTTGCAAGTATAACCGCTGCGGTTGAGTAGATGGAGAAGGTAAGATAACTTAGATAATGAATCTTTAGCCAGTTTGTAGATGGGTAGATAGGACTCTGAAATTAAGTTACAGTTACTTATTTAACATGCATATTGCACATAGCTGTAATTCAATTTCCACATAAACGTTTTATTTATATTACTGTTTACAGTTTTGATGTCTTCTGAGGACGGTGGTGGAGACTATATGGCACTATCTTCAAATCCGTGTAAATGAAGCGATACATGTTGGTTTACTTGAATATTAGTAATTAATTACCGTAAAGCCTTCAATATTTCTGGCGTCAGTCAGTTCACCAAGTCAGAAGCTGTTACGTTTTTATTCGGGAGTCTTTGCGAATTAGTTATTATACACGCTTATTTAACGAAAGTGAACGGTTGTATACAAATTGTTGAAAGGTATCTATATCAAGTTAATACATGCCACAAAGGAAGAAATAAACAGGAATATTTAATCACATATTTATATTGTCTGAATTATCTGAAGGTTAATTAAGCAACAAGACAAGTTATAGCGACTTTAAAAAGTGAATGTAATTCAGTCTGTTCTATACTTCTACAACCCTTTGTGTAAAATGTGCCCACTGTTTTTATTTTTAAGTGTGCCACCATGTACAGTAGTTATCATTTGTGTCCTCTGGTTATCATTTCACTGTTGATTCTGAAGTCCCTTGGGCTTTACTTCCATTGTGGGTTCAGAATTCTTGAATCAGGTCTGATCATAGACTTCTCTTTTAAAGGCTTGGATTTTCCTCTCTTTTAGCTATGTGGTGTAGAATATTTAGGCCTGGGACAGAAGCATTTATTATTACACGCTCGCTAGGATGAATTAGGATGTAATTATAATTCAATCATATATTTGAGCGATCTCAACCAAAAGACCTTCTTTTGGGGTGAGGTTGTCTCATTGGGACCAATGCTGTGATCGGGACAGGCTACAATTTCACAAATTAGTTTCACTGATCAAGTCAATACAACACAATGGAGCTTTAATGAATTGTATGAGTTAAAGGCTTGTACTCCAAAGTATAAATCTGCCTGATGTATGTGTGATTTCAGAAAATAGTAGTGCGCTCCAAATTCTGTTTTAATTCAATTGGTGACCCAATTTCTTACCTCTCTACTTGATTTAATGTGCAATTAGGCCAATAGTCTATAATGGGTATTACACTTGTCCATTAAGTGGTGGGTGAATTGGGTCCTTTTCCGTGCGTAAAATATCTTTTGGGATCCTTAAGGATGGAAAGGGTTATTACTGGTAATA